CGAGTATTTCCGTGGCTTGGTTGTGGAGTTCCCTCTCCTCTACCCACGGGTGGGTGGTGACTCCTCCCTCCCGCCCCGGGAATTCCCGCCCCTCCCTGTACGGTGAGAGTAGGGACCTATGGAACACTGGATGTATCTTCATGCTGTCAGGCAACTTCAGCTTGAATGTCACAGGGTTCACCTGCTGTGTTACCTCAAAGGGTCCCAGCTGCCTTGGCTGCAACTTCTTGCATCCTCCCTTTAGGTGTAACCCTTGGGTTGACAACCACACTCGGTCTCCCACCCGTATGGCATCCCCCTTCCGACGGTGCTTGTCTGCCTGCCTCTTGTAAACTTCCTTGGCCCGCTCCAAGTTCATCTTGAGTTGCTGGTGCAAGGCCTCCATTTCTTCCACAAACTGCTCTGCTGCAGGTACACTCCACCCTTCCTCCCCCCTCCCCAGGAAGGCCCTGGGGTGACACCCATAATTGGCCATGAACGGGCTCATGCCTGTGGACACATGTTCAGCGTTATTGTACGCAAATTCAGCCAGCGCTAGTTTCTCTACCCAATCATTCTGTCTCTCGCTGACGTAGCAGCGTAGGTATTGCTGGAGTATACTGTTCGCTCTTTCTGCTTGCCCATTGGTTTCCAGGTGTCGCGCCGTCGAGAAGCCCACCTCTACCTGCAGCAAGCTCATGAGCTTCCACCAGAACCGGGAAGTAAATTGTTTCCCGCGATCTGAGATGACCTTCGAGGGCGCCCCCATGCAACCTGAACATGAGATCCACAAACAACTTGGCTGACTCCTCTGCCGTCACCGCATGTGAGCAAGCTATGAAATGGCACATCTTCGTCAGTAGATTGACTACTACCATGACTGCTGTCTTCCCCCTTGACTTGGGCAAATCTGTCATAAAATCAATGGACACCACCTCCCAGCGTCTTCCCGGCGTGGGTAAGGGTTCCAGTAACCCTGCGGGGGCAGCCCTCTCCCCCTTTGGCAGCGGTCGCACCCCCGTACATATTCCCGTACATCCTCCCTCACCCTTGGCCACCAGAACTGCCTGGTGACGAGCAGCATGGTTTTGTGCTGTCCAAAGTGCCCAGATGTGGGGTTGTCGTGGAGTTGTTTGAGTACCTTCCTCCTCAAGGTCTCCCCCGGTACATACAGCGCCCCCTTATAGTACAGCACCCCTTCCTTTTCCTCAAACCCTCCATGGTTTTCTCTTCCGTCTCGGAGTTCCCTGATTTTAGTTTGAGCGAACACGTCGTTTCTAGTAAGCCTGGCCAGTTCTCGTTTCCCAACCAAGGCTCCCCCCCACACCCATCGGTCCTCGGGGATCACGTGTCGGATCTCCGGTGGTCCCTCTCTTCCATGTACTCCAGCTTCCGGGAGAGAGCATCTGCTCTTACGTTTTCCTCTCCCGGCACGTATCGGATCTCGAAGGAAAACTTGGAGAACTCCTGTGCCCATCAAATCTGTCTCTGGTTGAGTACTCGCGCGGTCCTCCAGTATTCCAAGTTCTTGTGATCAGTACAAACCTGGATCTTGTGCTCCGCCCCTATTAACAGATGTCTCCATCGGCGAAACGCCGCAGATCGACAGCAGTTCGCGGTCATACACCGTAGTTTTGCTCCGACTTGCTCAGCTTCCTCGAGAAAAAGGCACACGGCTTCCAGTCCTCCTTGCCCCTCCCTGGCTGCAAAAGTACCGCCCCAATGGCTCTGTCGGATGCGTCAGTCTTCTCTTTTTTTCTTTTTCAATTTTTTTTTATTAGTTTTCCAACTTTATGACAAATAGAAAGAAAACATCAACAAACAAACAAACATTTATCCTAGCTGTAATAATTCCACTTTTATTAACATTGTTGGGTGATTTCCTCGAGTCCCCCTGGCTGAGTTTCCATATAAATCATTGTAGCAGTTTTCCAAAACTATTTTCACATTAAATTTACTTGATCAATTAACATCTTTCTTTTCTATTCTTTTTTTAAACCATAATATTCTACAACATCACTTATTTAAATCCTAGGCCAATCTGATACTCACAAGTAATTCTATTTAAGTTATCTTAACATAGTTAGCTAAATAGTCTTTAAATTTCTTCCATTCTTCTTGGTACCCCTCCTCCTTCTGGTCGGGACTCTTCCGGTCAGGTCGGCTAGCTCCCAAAAGTCCACCATCTTCATCTGCCATTCCTCCACTGTTGGTACTTCTTGTAATTTCCAATTTTTGGCCAACAAAATTCTAGCTGCAGTTGTGGCATACAAAAACAATCTAACATCTTTCTTGGGCAATTCCAAACCTGTTACTCCAAGTAGGAAGGCATTCCTGTCTTCCACTGCCTCCCACAGTTTGGTCAAACTCATGCTGGTAGCTTCGAGAACACTGTCCAACCATCTCGTCCTCTGTCATCCCCTTCTCCTTGTGCCCTCCATCTTTCCCAACATCAGGGTCTTTTCCAGGGAATCTTCTCTTCTCATGAGGTGGCCAAAGTATTGGAGCCTCAGCTTCAGGATCTGTCCTTCCAGTGAGCACTCAGGGCTGATTTCCTTCAGAATGGAGAGCTTTGATCTTCTTGCAGTCCATGGGACTCTCAAGAGTCTCCTCCAGCACCATAATTCAAAAGCATCCATTCATATAGCATATATTCAGCACAAAAAACAGCAACAATTTGTTGTTGACAAAGGGCAGCTGGACATATTAAGGGCCCCATTACCTTCAGGAGCTTAGGGCCTCATCAAACCTAAATCCAGCCCTGGTCTCAGCAATAGTTGCTTTACTTCCTATGGACCCCAAGCATTCTGCAAAATCTTCAGTCACTTGAAAACTAGGAAGTGAAATACAAAATCAAGTACAGTCGTACCTCGGAAGTCGAATCCCTTGCGAGTCAAACGTTTTGGCTCCCGAGCGCCACAAACCCGGAAGTGAGTGCTTCGGTTTGCTAACATTCTTTGGAACCCGAACGTTCCCCTGCAGCTTCTGCGGCTTCCGGTTGGCTGTAGGGGCTCCCTGCAGCCAATCAGAAGCAGCGCCTTGGTTCCCAAATATTTTGGAAGTCGAACGGACTCCCAGAACGGATTCCGTTCGGCATCCGAGGTACGACTGTACCTTTCATGCCATTAACAAGTATAGTTTGCAAAATGACAAAGAGAACATCTTGTTTTGGGTCTTATTGTTTTTTAAAAATATCTGAACTAAAGCAAGTTTACTTGGATTTGCTGAAAACTACCCCAGAAGGCACACACTGTGTCCCTCTCCAGAGGTACTACCCCTCCTATACATTGCCATAAAATTCTGCTAAGACCTTTAGATTGTTACGGTAAAATCTGGGTGCAAGGCTGCTCTGCCACCCAGCTCGTCGGACTAAGTCCGCGAGTTCCTGCGGAGGAAAATGAGCTCAGCCGGAGACAGGAGCAAACTGCAGAAGATCCAAGTTTATTGCGCAACAGGTTCAAGGCGAGATTGAACAGCGAGAAAGGGGTGACATTAACTTTTGAAACTTCCCTCCATGTCCCAGAATACAGTGCAAAATACATCCCAGTTACATCATGAATACATTAAGAAGAGGTTGGGTTACACAGATTACATCATGAATACATTAAGAAGAGGTTGGGTTACACAGGATTAACATATGGAGGAGGGAGGGGGGAATATGCAGAGCTGGAGATATGCGCAGATAAGCACATCCTGAGTACCGGTGATGAGAAGACAATGGTCCATGTATGCATGGTCTGCCACCTGGCATTGCCCAGAGGAAAGGCTTGGCAGAGTGATTTGACAGGATTAGGGTCTTGACACCTTGCTTGAGGGATTATGGAGGACAGGGGAGGTGTCATGGAGTCCTAGAGAAATTGAGCAAATTGGCACGTTGATTTTCTATGAATTTTACAGATTTTAGTCCCTTTTGACATTGACAATTGGAAATAAATGGATATATTGTAGCAAAGAAGGAAGTGAAGAAGACATGCCCCCCCTTCCGTATCAAGATGCAAAGCTGAAATTCCCCATTTCTTTCTTTCTTTTTTGAATTTGCATTTTATTTATTTGTTAACATTCTTATATTACATGGGTAAACGCTGTCATATTACATTACAGGACTTACTATAATTTCCAACATATATACAAAAATTATATACAAATTTTATATACCTAGAAAGAAAATAAAACAAAAGAACAAAGAGAAGAAACAATAACCATTTCCCCCCAAAATCATATACATACCAACACACTAGACTTCCTGTCCTTCCCGTTGTATGTTCCTTTTTTTACAAATGAATGTACTCTTATTCTTGTATATATCTTTACACATTATCTAATACATTCCTATATCAATATGTGCTCTTAGTCTTATTTCTCAACTCAGTCTCACTCCAACGTCAATCAAATGCTGGCATACATAGCGAACCTTCACTGTATTTTTGAACGTATGTTTTATATCTATCCCACTTTCCCATAAATTTTTGTTTTGAATTACTTGAAATTCCCCATGCATTTCTAGTTGTGGACACGCAGTGGCAGTATTGCCTACCATAATGTGTAGGCCTAGCAGTTTAGAGGAAGCTTTCTACTGTAGGCTAGTTAGACTGCCTTGGACCAAGCAGATATATTTCAATTTTGCTAGCTTTCAGCGCTTCTAATTGTTACCTCACAATGTTAAGTTTAGGCAGCATTTAGTAGCGTCTGTGCATGTGCAGGTTTCTTGTGAGGTAGTCAGTCTTCCTCAGGGGCAGCAATACAGAGCCTTTTGAACTCGGAGCTCCTCGGTCCACGACAACCTTCCTCACCAATTTGGTGCCCTCCAGATGTTTAGGACTACAATTCCCATCAGCCCAAGCTGGAAAGGCCCAGGGGTGATGGGTTTTGTAGTTTTAGAAGCTGAACAAAATGTACAGATGAAATTATTACTGGTAGTGGTGAAGGATCGACACATTTCCACACTCTGCCAACATATTAGCCACCAGGCCTCCCAACATGCACTCTTTTATAAGGAAAATAAATACAGTGTCACAATTCTCATCAGTCCAATGGAGCCACATTAAATAAGTCTTTTATAGCAGAGCACAGCTCAATTCCAAATCTAAACATAGCACAGGTCTTCTGAAAGAGTGTTTCACTTTGGGAAATACTTTGCATAGATTCCAGCAGCAATATCTCTGTAAGGAGTGTCTGAATCAGACTTGGTCCGGGGTATGTGGCAGAGTCGACGGAAAGCAGGGGAACGAAGCAGGAGGTTGTGCGAAAGGCCCATGAAACTCGAGGAGACCCAGTACAAAGCCATTGCCTGAAACCAGAGCGGAAAGAAGCATTACTTTCAACAAAGCCAGGATGCTGAAAAAGTACCACAGCCACCCAAGAGGACGTACGCTATCTTTCGTTTTTAGGAATATAAAATACAGTGGTACCTTGGTTCCCAAACGCCGAAAAGTGTTCGTGTGTTCCGGTTTTCAAACGTTTTTCATAAGCTGAACGTCCGATGCGTCTGTCGACTATTGTTTCCAGGGCACCTGCACCAATCAGAAGCTGCGCCTTGGTTTTCGAACATTTCGGAAGTCAAACAAACTTCTGGAACGGATTACGTTTGGCACTTTTGCTTTTGCTATTTATTTTGCGTTTTTGTTTTTGAGGCTTTTGGGTTAATTTGTTTTTGTGACTGTGTGGAACCCAGTTCAGCTACTGATTGATTGATTGATTGATTGATTGTGTGACTGCGGAAATGGATAAAAGCCCCCCATCCAAATAATGACTACCATCAGTACAGCTAAGGGGACAAAAGAATTTTAATTTTTATCATCTACAATACGGTCTTATTTATTTTAGAGTACAGTACATTGATTATTGCTTTCATTTTATGGATCAATGGTCTCATTACAAAGTAAAATCCATGTTAAATTGCAGTTTTAGGGGTTGTTTTTAAAAGTCTGGAATGGATTAATCCGTTTTGCATTACTTTCTATGGGGAAGCGTGCCTTGGTTTTGGAACGCTTTGGTTTTGGAACGGACTTCTGGAATGGATTAAGTTTGAGAACCAAGGTACCGCTATATGTGGAAAACTTGATGGGATACATTTCGGCCCACCTTCCTCCAAAAAGCTCAGGGTGACAAAGCACTCTCAGTCCCCTATTTTATCCTCCTCCTAACAACCCCCTGAGGTACATTAGGGTGAAAGATGGTCCAATCACCAAGGCCGAGGGGAATTTGAACCCAGGCCTCACTCCAGCCACAAAATTTGGCTCTTCCAAATTTATGAAGCCGTCTTAAAAACTGGAGCATCTTAGAAGCAATATTCTACCCAGCTTCAGCAGGGATTAACATAGCAGGGGTCAGCAAACGTTTTCAGCAGGGGGCCAGTCCACTGTCCCTCAGACTTTGTGGGGGGCCGAACTATATTTTCGGGGGGAAATGAATGAATTCCTATGCCCCACAAATAACCCAGAGATGCATTTTAAATAAAAGCACACATTCTACTCATGTGAAAACACCAGGCAGGCCCCACACTGCTGGAGCATATTATTACTTCTTGAAATGAGGCCACGGCACAAAAACCATTTCCAGGCTCCAAACTGGAGAATTAGGGGTTCACTCGCAACGGGTTTCCCAAACCACCTCAGAGCCTGGAAGAAGCATTGGCCCAACTCAGTGCTGTTGTTCTAGTCAAAACAAAATTAAAAAATTCCTTCCAGTAGAACCCTAGAGACCAACTGTCAGGGGTTCAGGAGCAGAGGCAAGGGAAAGGGAGGAAACAGAGAGTGAGGGGGAGGAGGCAGAAGAGAAGATGAGTGATGACGACGACCCGAGATCTCCGAGTCTTTCCAGTGAATCAGAAGATTCACAGAAAGGAGCACCAGTGGCCAGGGCAAGGGGGGAGACTAGGGGGACACCCCAGGAAGAAAGGGCCAGAGGGGGCTCAGAGGGGAGCAGTGGGAAATCGGGACCAGCGTCACCCACAGAGAGCAGGGGAGAGGAAGGGCGCCAGGTATCAAGCGCTGGTAGCTCACAACAAGGGGGAGGGCACGAGTCAGGAGTGGCCACACCTCCATCGGGGAGCGAAGAAACGGTCAGACGGAAAGTGGGAGGTTGGGCGCGCGCGCCAAGTTCAAATGCACAGGAAGGTGGCGCAGTGAGCAGCCCGGAAAGGGAGCCAGGTCCTAAAGCCCGGCGCAAGGAGACAGAAGGGTCCGGGGGGTCAGCGTCAGAAGAATCCCGGAAGGAAGAGACCCCGGGGGGCAGAGGGACCCAGAGAAACAGTCAGGCGGAAAAGGTGGAGTAAGGCTAGGGTATTAAGTTGGTGTACAGGGGGCGGAGACTCAGACGGAGCTTCGCCGGTCTAACCCTTAAGACGTAGAGTTGCGCGCAGCAGCTTGAGAATGGAAACTGTAACTCAATAAAAGACTTTTACAAGTGACCGCTGGCTAGCGTGATCCTCTGTGAGCTAGGATCTGGAAGCAGCTCTGACACCAACTAAGTTAGTTATTGGTGTGAGCTTTCATGTGCATGCACACTTCTTCAGATACACTGAAACAGAAGTCACCAGACCCTTATATATAGTGAGAGGGTGGGGTGGGATATTACTCAGAAGGGTGGTGGGAATGGGTGATTGGCTGATAGGTGTGGTAAACCTGTTGATGACTGTTAAGGACTGATCACGGAAGAATTGATGCTTTTGAATTATGGTGCTGGAGGAGACTCTTGAGAGTCCCATGGACTGCAAGAAGATCAAACCGATCCATTCTGAAGGAAATCAGCCCTGAGTGCTCACTGGAAGGACAGATCCTGAAGCTGAGGCTCCAATGCTTTGGCCACCTCATGAGAAGAGAAGACTCCCTGGAAAAGACCCTGATGTTGGGAAAGATGGAGGGCACAAGGAGAAGGGGATGACAGAGAACGAGATGGTTGGACAGTGTTCTCGAAGCTACCAGCATGAGTTTGACCAAACTGTGGGAGGCAGTGGAAGACAGGAGTGCCTGGCGTACTCTGGTCCATGGGGTCACGAAGAGTCGGACATGACTAAACGACTAAACAACAACTACAACGACTGCAATTGGTCTTACAGGAAAAAGCAAGGGGTGAGATGGCTCAAAATAGCTTTATCGTGTATAATGAGCTAAGAATCCAATGTCTCTATTCAGACCAGGTCTCTCCATGGTTTTAAGTTTGTTAATAAGTTGCAATTGAGCAACTTCTCTTTCCAGTCTATGAAATTCTTTTGCAATAAGACAGTTACTTTGAGATCTTGTATAGAATGTCCTGGGAGATTGAAGTGCTCTCCTACTGGTTTCTCTGTCTTGTGATTCCTGATATCAGACTTATGTCCATTTAACCTTTGGCGTCGGGTTTGTCCTGTTTGTCCAATACAGAGAGCTGAAGGGCACTGTTGGCATTTAATGGCATACACAATGTTGTTCTAGGTTACTTACTGATGGTACAGTTGCAGCGATTGGAATCATAAGCACCGAGACACCTCGGAAGAAGTTAGTGCCATACCTCTGGAGCCGAGACAGTTCAGTTTTCCGCAAAGCAAAAATCTGGAGAGACAAATTCACTTGTAAGAAATTTGGGGAACAAGATGTCAGCCGGAGCGTCGAGGAGGCAAATATGCAACTCAGGGACTGGTGCGTGCAGGTCAACGCAAGTTATTATCTACGCTTTAAAGTCCTTCCCAGGTTTAAAGCGTGAGAACTCCCAATGTGGCCAGAAATCTGCTTTATATATCAAGTTTCCCACCTCCTTTAAAAACTGTATCTAACGGTCGAAAGACAATGTTAACTGGAACGGTTGTTTTTAAGAAGTATAGTCCCTGGTATTCCGAAGCAGAAATGAAATGCCATTACAGCGTTTGCTTATCTGTCTCTGCTGACAAACTGCTGTGCTATTTTATTTACAATACAGTGGTCCCTTTGTTCTCAAACGCCTTGGTTACTCAAACATCTTGGACCCCAAACAATGCAATCCCGGAAGTAAGTGTTCCAGTTTGTGAACTTTTTTCAGAAGCCAAACATGCTCTGTTTTGAGTTCCACACTTTACACTGAGGCCTATCTGTTTTTGCTATTTATTTTGTGTTTTTGTTTTTGCGGCTTTTATATTTTGTTTCTGTGACTGTGTGGAACCCAATTCAGCTATTGACTGATTGATTGTGTGACTGCAGTACATTGTTTATTGCTTTCATTTTATGGATCAATGGTCTCATTAGATAGTAAAATTCATGTTAAATTGCTGTTTTGGGGGTTGCTTTTAAAAGTCTGGAACAGATTAATCCATTTTGCATTACTTTCTATGGGAAAGCGCGCCTTGGTTTTGGAACGCTTTGGTTTTGGAACGGACTTCTGGAACGGATTAAGTTTGAGAACCAAGGTACCACTGCAGAGTAAATTGCAAGTTGGCCAAATAGCTGTAGATGTGATTTGATGGTAGTCCCAGAGTCAGCCTTCCATACCTCCACTATCAGCAGATTGAGGAGTCCAAGAGTGATTGGCAGAATCCAAGTTGAGTCAGGTACAGTGAGATCCGGAAACCAGAGGATCCCTCCTGTGGAAAGCTGCTCCTGAATTAAGAACCCTGTTGAAAAACCACACACACGGTTGGCGCATTTTGTTACCTTAAACATCCATCACTTTAGCGGATGGATGTGAAAAGGATCTAGGAGTCTTGGTTGACCACAAACTTGACATGAGCCAACAGTGTGACGCGGCAGCTAAAAAAGCCAATGCAATTCTGGGCTGCATCAATAGGAGTATAGCATCTAGATCAAGGGAAGTAATAGTGCCACTGTATTCTGCTCTGGTCAGACCTCACCTGGAGTACTGTGTCCAGTTCTGGGCACCACAGTTCAAGAAGGACACTGACAAACTGGAACGTGTCCAGAGGATGGTGTCCAAAATGGTCAAAGGCCTGGAAACGATGCCTTATGAGGAACGGCTAAGGGAGCTGGGCATGTTTAGCCTGGAGAAGAGGAGGTTAAGGGGTGATATGATAGCCATGTTCAAATATATAAAAGGATGTCACATAGAGGAGGGAGAAAGGATGTTCTCTGCTGCTCCAGAGAAGCGGACACGGAGCAATGGATCCAAACTACAAGAAAGAAGATTCCACCTAAACATTAGGAAGAACTTCCTGACAGTAAGAGCTGTTCGACAGTGGAATTTGCTGCCAAGGAGTGTGGTGGAGTCTCCTTCTTTGGAGGTCTTTAAGCAGAGGCTTGACAACCATATGTCAGGAGTGCTCTGATGGTGTTTCCTGCTTGGCAGGGGGTTGGACTCGATGGCCCTTGTGGTCTATTCCAACTCTGTGATTCTATGATTAGGTTGAGGGCAGACAAGGCTGAATCCAGACAAGAAAACATTGTTGGAAGATCTTGGATAAATGACCGAAAACTTCTGGAACGTAACCTTTCTCCTCCTCCGTGATTCAGATTAGCAATCTCTAGATCCATCCCTGCAGCTGGAAAGTCAAGCTGGCAGTGGTAGCTAAGGAGTCCTTTCAACAGTTTATGCTGTTCAACAGCTAACCAAGTGCGGAAAAGGAGATGCATTCAGTTAAGGGACCAACTCCCTTCTCTTGCAGGGGCCCAATTAGTGCCATTGCCTTCCGTTAAGAGTTTGGGTGTAATCCTTGATGCCTCCCTTTCCATGGAGGTGCAAGTTACAGCAACAGCCAAGGCGACATTTTTCCCACCTTCACCGCATCAAGCAGTTGGTGCCCTTACCTTTCCCGCCCCGACCTGGCCACAGTGATCCATGCGACGGTCACCTCCAGGCTTGACTACTGTAATTCGCTCTACGCGGGGCTGCCCTTGAAACTGTCCCAGAAACTCCAGCGGGTGCAGAATGCTGCAGCGAGGCTCCTCACGGATGCTCCTCCGCCATGGGAGCATATTCACCCAGTGCTTTTCCAGCTGCACTGGCTCCCGGTGGAGTACAGGGTCAGATTTAAGGTGCTGCTTTTGACCTTTAAAGCCCTTCACAGCCTAGGACCCTCGTACCTACGGGACCGCCTCTCCCGGTATGCCCCACGGAGAGCCTCAAGGTCCATAAATAGCAACACCCTAGAGGTCCCGGGCCCTAGGGAAGTCAGAATAGCCTCAACCAGAACCAGGGCCTTTTCAACACTGGCTCCAGCCTGGCGGAACGCTCTGCCTCATGAGACCAGGGCCCTGCAGGATCTTATTTCTTTCCGCAGGGCCTGTAAGACAGAGTTGTTCCACCTGGCCTTTGGCTTAGAATCAATTTGATTCCCTCCCCCCCTTTCTTTTTTCCTTTCTCCTCCTGTAATGAGGTTGCATTTTAATGTTTTGATTATTTGAATGTATTTTAATCTTGTTTTTAAGTTGTATTTCAATCAACTTGTTTTTATTATTGGTTGTTAGCCGCCCTGAGCCCGGTCTTGGCTGGGGAGGGCGGGGTATAAATAAATTTATTATTATTATTATTATTATTATTATGCCAAGGGATGAGAAATAGGGTTTGAGGAAACTGCGGACAGTGGAACCTCTACTCACAACCACAATCCGTTCCAGAGGCCCGTCCTTATGGCGGAATTGGTTGCTGGTAGAAGCATCGTTGTGCGCAGGCACATTTAGCGGCAGCCGCTTCTGCACATGTGTAAATCGCAGCAAACCCGGTGTTTACTTCTGGGTTTGCTGCAGTTGCAACTTGGAACAGGCCTAAGTAGAGCAGGATGTAAGTAGAGGTTCTACGGTACATTTTATATTGGAGGTTGTCGCCCACACACTTCTACTGCGCTTGTTGCTGGTGTGGTGGCTCCTCTGTAAAACTGCTTTAAACAGCCTAGAGCAGAGTTCCTTCCTTGCGGCAAGAGACTACGAGACTTGTACAAAATACTCAGTCAAGAGTTACTTTATTTCTTGGCTGGTTCACAAGCATTTTAGTCGCGACTATATACAAAACTATTTACCTACATCTTTCCACCACGGGGTAAACCAGGCATAGGCAAACTCCGGCCCTCCAGATATTTGGGACTACAATTCCCATCATCCCTAGCTAACAGGACCAGTGGTCAGGGATGATGGGAATTGTAGTTCCAAACATCTGGAGGGCTGGAGTTTCCCTATGCCTGGTATATGCAGGACTTGATCTCTTTCTGCAGGGCCTGTAAGACAGAGTTATTCCACCTGGCCTTCAATTTGAATTAGCCTGATCCTCTATTCCCTTTTCCCTTTCCTCTGCTATGAAGAAACCCTTTCTGGGACCCCACATTTAAATTCTTCCCTGGTCCCTTTGCTGGCCCGAGTAGGACCAACTTGGCCAGTTAGCCCTGGTGATCATTCAATGTCTGATTTGTGGGTTCCCCCCACAAAAAAATGACCCCTGAATTTTTGAATTTTATTGATATTGATGCTGCATTTTATGTTGTATTCTATGCTGTTTTTAAGTTGCATTTTAATCAATGTTTTATATTTGCTGTTAGCCGCCCTGAGCCTGGTTTTTAAACCGGGAAGGGCGGGGTATAAATAAAAATATTATTATTATTATTATTATTATTATTATTATCATCATCTCACACCGTGTGGGTACTCTTTCCTCATGCAGGGAAGTGCAACCTGCAACTTCCTCCTTTTTTCCCCCATCCCCAGCTGTAACCAATCAGCCTAGAGTGTCACTCCTAACCTTTAAAGAAAACTTCTTTAAAGCTACAAGCTCCTTTTTCCGTTTCTTTGAAGAATGACTTCCTAACATTTCACGGCACCAGTTCAAAAGCCTTACCGTCAGCAGCTGCTCTGCCAATGCTGAAGTTGCGCAAAGCCATGGAAACGAAGACCCACATTGGAATCTGAATCCATACGAGCAAGGTGGCCTTCAAAGGGTGGCAGTTGTCTCGCACGTACAACTCGGAAACAATCCTTTTCAGATTCTTCTTGAAATGGAACCTGCTTGGGCAGAGGGAAACAGAAGTGAGGGAAGAACGAGGAGGTTACAGCGATCTTTATAAAGGGGTTTACTAGCATCGCTATAGAAATGCGTTAAGTGGGCAAGATAAAGGAACAGAGAAGGAGTGGAAGAACGCATAGACAGGTCTGTGGGCAGTGCTGAAAGGTCAATCGCAGAACAATTGAAATCGAATGGAAATACTTTATTGTGGAGGGGACGCGGGTGGTGCTGTGGGTTAAACCACAGAACCTAGGACTTGCTGATCAGAAGGTCGGTGGTTCAAATCCCCGCGACAGGTATAGCTCCCATTGCTCGATCCCTGCTCCTGCCAATCTAGCAGTTCAAAAGCACATAAAAGTGCAAGTAGATAAATAGGTACCGCTCTGGCAGGAAGGTAAATGGCGTTTCTGTGCGCTGCTCTGGTTCGCCAGAAGCGGCTTAGTCATGCTGGCCACATGACCCGGAAGCTGTACGCCAGCTCCCTCAGCCAATAAAGCGAGATGAGAGCCGCAACCTCAGAGTCGTCCGTGACTGGACCTAATGGTCAGGGGTCCCTTTACCTTTACCTTATTGTCACTTGTACAACTTGTATACAGTGAGGTTACACAAGCACCCCCCACTCAGCTCTCTTAGTCTTAATTCCCCTCGTTTACTGACACACACACACCAAACCCAAAAGTCAGTTGCCCTGTTGTTATCTACAATACTGTCTTATTTATTTTATTGATTATTGCTTTCATTTTATGGATCAATGGTCCATGTTGAATTGCTGTTTTAGGGGTTGTTTTTAAAAGTCTGGAACGGATTAATCCGTTTTGCATTACTTTCTATGGGAAAGCGTGCCTTGGTTTTGGAATGGACTTCTGGAACGGATTAAGTTTGAGAACCAAGGTGCCACTGAATACTGCTAGGAGGCTTGCAGTGGCCACAAGGAAGAGAAATGTATTATTCAGAATACATACACAGAATATTATTCTAGCTGGATGAGATGAGATACTGCTCAAAATGCTCTTACCTGGCTTCCTTTTCAGACCAACTCCATTGTTTTGCACAAACGGAAACTTCATAGCGAAGGTGCTTGGCTAGGCTGTGGATTTCAGGCTTCAGGTTTTCCAGCTAGCTGAAAAGACACGGACGACTTAGTTATAAACCAGTTAAGTGCTTCTTTCCCCCCCCCCCCCCCAGAACTGTCCCTTAAAGAGCTCTCCCGTTGCACTAATGGTTTACTCTTGCTTACCTGCCAAAATGTAGACCTAGGCACACTAGCATCACTATAGAAATGCAGTAAGAGGGCAATATAAATACAAGTCAAACCATGGCTCTATCTATCTGAGCATTGTCTATCCCATGGACTGCAAGAAGATCAAACCTCTCCATTCTGAAGGAAATCAGCCCTGAGTGCTCACTGGAAGGACAGATTCTGAAGCTGAGGCTCCAAGACTTTGGCCACCTCATGAGAAGAGAAGACTCCCTGGAAAAGACCCTGATGTTGGCAAAGATGGGGGGCACAAGGAGAAGGGGGCGACAGAGGACGAGATGGTTGGACAGTGTTCTTGAAGCTACCAGCATGAGTTTGACCAAACTGCAGGAGGCAGTGGAAGACAGGAGTGCCTGGCATGCTCTAGTCCAGGGGGTCACGAAGAGTCGGACATGACTAAACGACTAAACAACAACAATTGTCTATGCTGCCCGGCAAGAGCTCTCTGGGGTTTCAGGTGGGGCTCTTTCCCAGCCATAGGTAAAGGTAAAGGGACCCCTGACCATTAGGTCCAATCGTAGCCGACTCTGGGGTTGCAGCGCTCATCTCGCTTTATTGGCCGAGGGAGCTGGCGTACAGCTTCCGGGTCATGTGGCCAGCATGATTAAGCCGCTTCTGGCAAAACCAGAGCAGTGCACGGAAACGCCGTTTACCTTCCCGTCGGAGCGGTACCTATTTATCTACTTGCACTTTGACGTGCTTTCGAACTGCTAGGTTGGCAGGAGCAGGGACCGAGCAACGGGAGCTCACCCCGTGGTGGGGATTCGAACCACCGACCTTCTGATCGGCAAGCCCTAGGCTCTGTGGTTTAGACCACAGCGCCACCTGCGTCCCTCTTTCCCAGCCATACCAGGGATTAAATCTGGGGCCTTGTGCATGCAAAAATAATAATCATGCACCCTACCACTGAGTACAGCTCAGTATTTTGCTAGAAACGGTAGTATCCTCATGCAGAAGTACAAGTTTGAAAGTTGCCATATAAGTGCTTAAAGACTATATAGGTAGTGAAATATCTGGATGAGCAATAGCTGAAGGGCTATGCTAAATGGTCTGGATGATGAGACATAAAATCGTAGAATTGTAGACTTGGAAGGGACCAAGAGGGCGCAACCCCCAGCAATGTGGGAATCGTTTGCCCAACGTGGGGCTTGGATTCACAACCCTGAGATTAAGAGCCTCATGCTCTACCGACTGATATATATGACATTTTCCTAGGTGTACACTGGATTTTTTATTTTATTTTTTACATGGAGTAGCCAAAAAATAACCCCAATTCCAGGCCATCTCTGCAGCCAAGAGCACTGATTCATTTGACAGAGAAAAGCAGCTCTCTCCCACACTTCATCCTGCATTTTTTTAAACAAAAAAACCTGTTCCCCTCAAAAACATATTAAATTATACGAGCTCATTTGCAAGGCGGCAGCTTTTATATATGCACTTTTAAGAAAAACTTTAAGTTAATCATAACCTAACCTAACATTTCCAAATTGGAGAATTTTTTTTTTAATCTGGTCCTTACACAAATACGCATTAAAATAACTTTTGAAGTATCATGCGTATATGGACAGGCTTAACCATTTTAAAAAGCTTTACCGGACTCGAAATACTTTGCGGGTTTTATTTAAATTTCGCGCGGACCACACCGACCCCCGGCCACGGAAAGTCATGCCGTGCATTACATTTTTTCCTCCCAGTTTACGCGTTCCACCCTCCCCGTGCGCCCCTTTGCTCCACACACGCGCGCAGCAGCCCTCTGCAGATGCCCAGGAACCCCCTCTCCGTGCGCCCTTGCGCAGAGCCCACCTTGGCGAGGACGCGGCTCTGCAGGGCGGCGAGCGGGAGGGTGACGCCGGTGCGCAGGAGGGCGCTGGCGGCGACCACGGCGGCCCACCAGGGCAGCCCGGACGCGGCCTGCAGCGCCACCAGGCTCGACTCCATCCACGCCACGGGCGCCGAGGTCGACAAAGCTTCGTACCAGGCCCAGGACGCGGAGGGCTCTCCGGGGCCACCGCCGCCGGCGCCGCACCTCCGGGCGCGCAGAGGGCGCGCGAGGCGCCGCCGCAGCCGCGGGAAAGCAGCAGCAGCCGCGGGCCCGGGCGGAGCGGGGCGCGCAAGCTGCGCGCGGCCGAAGCGGCAACCAGGAGCGCAGGGGAGGCGCAGGGCACCATCTTGGTCACCGCGCAGCGCGTGCGCCCCGGGCGCGCGGTGGCGCTCCTCCCCGCGCTCCTCCCCCAAGCCCCGTGGTTGGAGCGCCCCAAACGGCCCGCGCGCAACCCTCGGAAGTTGCTTCCCAATTGCATGCAGTGGCGGATTTACGTAGAAGCGAAACAAGCTATAGTTTAGGGCAGCACTCTCTTGGGGGGATCCCAAAAAAATTTAAAGGGGAAAAAACTGAATGTACATTTCCAAAATAGAATATAAAAAACAAAAATAAAACCTACAATTATAATTTCATGTTATAGCAAGTTTATAGAGACTAGATTATGAGTCTTTGTAAATTGTGTTTCCAAAGGAACAATTGTGTTTGCATTAAGTTTGTTATGAATAAAAAATCATTTTAGGTTAGAGCTTAATAATTATTTCACTATTAATCTACTTCTTCTGAGTAGTATTTCACTATTAATCTACTTCTTCTGAATTGTATTTCAGTTCAACAATTACTTTGCTAAAATACATATTTTGTTATGTGCAAATGGCTTTAGATACCTATTAGGTCCATAAATTACCATACAGTCATACCTCGGGTTGAATGTGCTTCGGGATGAGAGCGTTCAAGTTGCGCTCTGCGGCAACCCGGAAGTAATGGAGCACGTTACTTCCGGGTTTTGTCGCTTGCGCATGCACAGACGCTCAAAATGACGTCACGCGCATGTGCAGAAGCGGCAAAAAACGGCGCGTGCGTGCGCAGACATGCCGTCGCTGGTTACGTTTGCTTCTAGATGCGAACGGGGCTCCGGAACGGATCCTGTTCGCATCTAGAGGTACCACTGTATAGCATATATTCAACACCAAAAGCAGCAAGCATTTGTTGTTGACAAAGGACAGCTGGACATATAAAGGGCCCCATTGCCTTCAGGAGCTCAGGGCCCCATTAAACCTAAATCCGGCCCTGAGTGCATCCTGAATGTATAGAGCCAGAAGGGACCCTCATCTAGTCCAGGGTTTCCCAAAGTGGTTTTTTGGACTACAACTCCCATCATCCCACTGGTCCTGCTAAGTACAATGGGAGTTGTAGTGCCAGCAACAGCCAGAGACCGAAGTTTGGGAAACCAGTCGAAAACCCCTGCAATGCAGGAATCTCAAGTAGATAATCCCATGGCAGTAGCCAGGATTTATGTTAGTGGGGGCAGGACACCCACCTGTCATCCTCTGTCTAGCAGATTCGGAATGAACTGTCTCCACGACAGTTGTTTTAAATTGCTTTCTTTTGACCCTAAATGCTCAGAAAAATCATATCAAAATCTCTTTACAATTTCTACTTTTAGCTAATGGAATTTTTACATAGGATCCCTCCAAACTACTGTCAAATCACAGATCATATCTGTGTCCGCACATGGCACTGTTGTTGTTTTAAATCGCAGATACTGTGCCTCATGGCACCCACATGGTGGCAAAACATTGCTAAGAGGCATGGGTGGGTGTGCGCCTGCCTCGGGCACCGGGAGTTCATACTACATAGCTGGTGGCACATACCTGTCAACTAGCTGGGACATCCTGTATTTTTGGGGGGGGGCGTGCTCCAACACGGAGCATGGCACCCAAAAATGTTCAGGGTTGCAGCAGGATGCACGTCTCAATATGAGAGGACAGCACCCCAAAGGTGTTTTTTGGGGGTGCTGTGCTCTCGCACAGGTCACGTGACTTGCGCAGGAGCACATGCAGTCCCAGTTTTGCACTGGGGCATGTTGGAGGGCATAGGTGGCACCATTCACACAACAAAAACTACCACGGAGAGATCAACGTTTTCAGAAGTATGGTTTCCATGGCTTGGGTTTTGGAAACACAGGGGGTTTGCAGCACTTGGCTACCGTGTTTTTCGCTCCTGACCATAAGACACACCAAGTTTTTAGAGGAGAAACAAGGGAAAAAAAATATTCTGAACGAAAACAGTGGATGTATGATTTTGTGGTTCATGCTGTGGCCACAGACATGTGATTTGACGGTGAGTTTGGAGTAGCCCAATGCAAAAATCCTGAGAATCCATGTGGATCCGTGCTTTGTAACCACGTTTTTGCACCATGCAGCCCCACGCAACAGTGGGTGCATGATTTTTTTGGTGCAGGCTGTAGCCATGGACATGCTATGTGATCTGATGGTGAATTTGGGGTGACCCAATGCAAAAATCCTGAGGATCTATGGGCTTTTACCTCCCCCCTGCCAGGCAGCCTCCTTTATCACTAGCGTCCCTTATCTCCCTCCCGTTCACTTACTGATCAGCTGCTTCCTTTCAACAGTCCCTTCCCTCTTCTTTGCCTTAGTGTCTTTTTCTTAGCTGGAGCAGTTTTTTGCTCCTCCTTTTCTTCTAATTTCTCTCCTCATTGCTTTATCATTCCTGTCTCCTCTCCTTGCAAGTTCTCTGTCTTTACCTCCCCCCTCCCAGGCAGCCTCCTTTGATCGCTAGAGTCCCTTATCTCCCCTCCTGATCGCTTGCTCAGCAGCTTTGTTTCAACACCCCCTTCCCTCTTTCTAAAAAAAAAAAAAAGCACAATCTGCCTTTTGCCCCTGGGCAATTCGGCTCCAGGGACCACGCATTCGCTCCATAAGACGCACAGACATTTCCCCTTACTTCTTAGGAAGAAAAAAGTGCGTCTTATGGAGCAAAAAATATGGCAATTGGGAACTGGTGAACTAAAGCATTAATGTATCTAGGCCTGGGAACAGAAAGTGGCCGTCCCAAGTTGTGCTTCTCTTTCACTTTTCCGCTTTGCAAGCAATAAGGATGTTGTAGAAAAGGATCCAGGTTAAGTTTCCCATCTTGTCTTCTTTATGGGAAGAATAAAACATTCTCTACAACAAAAGCATCACTGTGACTATGACTATGACTCAGAAGAACTTACTGTATTTTTCGCTCCATAAGATGCACCTAGCTTTTAGAGGGGGGATGCAAGGGAAAAAAAAATTCTTTAAAGGGAGCGCTGAGCAGAGCCTCTCGTCTGCATTCGCTCCATAAGACGCACACACATTTCCCCTTACTTTTTAGGAGGGGAAAAGTGTGTCTTATAGATCGAAAAATACGGGGCTTTTTCCAGTGAACCACCCTTTGTTGCTGATTTGCAACCACCTCCTTGCTTCTTGCACCAGTATAACTGAAATGAACTTGGGAAGCTGCTGTTTCAAATATCATCACAAATCCAATAGGGGGTGTTATTCTCTCAGCCTCAGTTCACCGTATGCCCAAGGTGGAATTGTTGCTGGCATCTGTTTTGAGAGACAACAGAGTGCATTTCCGGGGGTGAAGTCAAACTGTTGTGTTGGCAGCTCTGATGTGATATACCTGGGTCACAAGCCTGGACAGTGTGTCTGGAGATCCTGGGCTGCCCAGATAAGACTAGCCCCCTCTCAGCCTCGCTGATGTGGTCCAAAGGAAAGCAGAGCAATAGGTTTGACACCAGCTTGGCTGCTAAAGTTGCCAGAAGGATGCAAGACGCCATCCAACCATCTTAGGGACTCCCAGATTTCTGTTGGGTTTACTCCTTAGGCTTTTGATATCCCGCAAAGCAGCAGAGGTTGGGATCAGTTTTTTCCCTCTTCCTAGACAGGCCACCTCCCCAGGTGGACCAGCCCTACCTGCCCCTCACTTCCCTCTGCAGCACGAAACTGCCTGCTTGACCATCAGACCCCATGTTTGGCCTCATTCGCTCAATCTACCAGAGCCTGTCTTTGCATGCAGAGGAAGTCCCTAACTCACCAAGGGTTTAAGACCCATCAACTAACCTCACCGGGTTTAGCTGGCTGGCTGAAGCCGTTCCTAGGGTGTGGCTGCTGTCACATACGGACAGTTTCTAGGAACCACAGGCGAGAGCTGAGTGCAGGGTGGTGACCAAAGGTGGACAAACTACCCAGCTCTCAAAATACAGTGGATGCTCGGGTTGCGAATGTGATCTGTGCGGGAGGCACGTTCGCAACCCGCAGCACTGCGTCTGTGCACACACGGATTGCGATTCGGCTCTTCGGTGCTGGTTTTGACCTTTAAAGCCCTTCACGACCTAGGACCCTCGTACCTACGGGACCGCCTCTCCCGGTATGCCCACAGAGGACCTTAAGGTCCATAAATAGCAACACCCTAGTGGTCCCGGGCCCTAAGGAAGTTAGATTAGTCTCATCCAGGGCCAAGGCCTTTTCAACTCTGGCCCCGGCCTGGTGGAACACTCTGTCTCATGAGACCAGGGCCCTGCAGGATGTGATTTCTTTCCGCAGGGCCTGTAAGACAGAGTTGACTCCAAGCCAAAGGCCAGGCAGAACAATTTGATTCCCTCCCCCTCTTATTTTTTTCCTTTCTCCTCCTGTGATGAGGCTGCATTTTAATATTTTAATGTTTCAATCATGTATTTAACCTTGTTTTTAAGTTGTATTTCAATCAACTTGTTTTTATTATTGCTTGTTAGCCACCCTGAGCCCGGCCTTGGCTGGGGAGGGCTGGGTATAAATAATTTTTATTATTATTATTCTGCACATGCGGAAAGCGCGATTTAGTGCTTCTGCACATGCGCGACTGCCGAAACCCGGAAGTAACTTATTCCGGTACTTCTGGGTTTCGGCAGGTCTGTAACCCCCAAAAAAAACACAACCTGAAGCGCCTGTAACCCGAGATATGACTGTACAGCCTTTCCTCCCATCTCAGCAAGCAGAGTCGAGGAAGCTAAAGCTTCCCATTTTGGCATGTTGATATTGCAATACTCCCAGTGTCTTGCTGACTGGCGCTGAGGGAGAAATCTTAAGTACCTGTCACCAGTCAGCTTGGCAGGGGAAGCAAATGATGGGACCTCAGGAATCGCAATACGCCTGCTCCTCAGCTTCTGCCAGTACCAATCCTGAGGTGTGCAGGAAGGATGCCATTGACCGCATGTGGAATGCCAGTATGTGTTATACAACTTTCGTGAGATTGTTCTCATATAATGTAGGCAATCGGAACACTTTAATTAGTCTGTATAAATAGTATTACTTCACATGGTTCTCTCCTGGAGCAGCGGTTAATAACAGGTTAACATGGGAAACGCAGAAGTGGAAACTGTGAGAACACGGTCGTGGACTTGGATCGAAAGAACTGTGCAACTCCTTCCAAGAGCCCAGGGGAGGTTTTGACTTGTGTTTCTTGAACAGCAGGCTCTCAGCCTCTGCAGTTTGTGGTATGTTTACGTCTGCCATTCAAAATGGAGAAAGCTAAAAACTCACCCAGCCAAGTCCCTTAGGTACAGAGAAAACAGCAGGTTAGATACCACATGTGGTCTGAAATGTACTTCAGCACATTAGGATTTTAAAGTGCCTGGGTGGGTTTATGAAGCAAGTTCAACCACATTTAGCATGCTGAGATTTTAAGGAGTGAATGTGGGGCTCCCCTTTCATACACCAAAACAAAACAAATTAAAAATACACCACATCAGCCCTAAATCACATTGGGGGGGGGGATTCTGCTTGTACACGGTTCTTGTATGTTATAAATGAATATGTTTTAAAAAATAGAGAAGACCTAGAAGGTCTCAGAAGAGGATGTTCCTTGTTTTTATTGGTCAAGTATGCATTACATTTGAAATATAAAAAAGTGTTCCAAAAATGTTGCTAATACAGACTTCTATCACACCCCCACCCCACCCCAAATATTGTTCAACAAGCCTCATCCAGGAAACAAGACACGGGGCGTTGTTCTCCTATTAACAGTTTTGCTTTCAAGTCAATAAAATACAGATAGCTTTAATAAGAAACCACATCCTAAGAAATTAAGCTCAGCTGATTCTGACAATATAGTTTGTTTTAATAAATACTGAGCATCTACTCCAAGCTGAAGGATTATTTCACGTGAGCAAAAATAATCCTAGTTAGTTGTGGAGAGGCATTTTGCATACACTAAAGGGGAGTGGTGTTATATAAAATACTTGAATAGCGTTACTCCCCCCCTCCTACATAGTAAAGTGCTGAAAAATTAGTTTCTCTCCCTCTCCTTTCCACCAGCGGCTGTTTGGTTAGGTTAGGCATTCATTTTGCTTCAACCAATTTCAGACATATCAGTAGGAATAGTACATGACAATGGAAAGGTTATTTTTTATTTTATTTTAAGAGCACCAACAGAGGGCATGTACACAGATGAACTGGTATTTATTCACAAGCCTCTCAACATCTTTTAAGTTGCATCCAGAAGGCTGCAGGGTTCTTTGGGAAAATAATTGTTCTTGCTGGCTTTACAGGTGAAGCAAGCATTTTAGAGCTCGAGTTTTGTGGCTGAGAAATTGAGCTGGTCCAGGTAATCTGAGATTTCCATTCATCCAAATCTTGAGTTAGAGCCACTACCTCTGTTTGAGAGAGGGCTAATCTGAGTGCCAGTGTAACATTAAAACAGACTTTCAGTTCACTTTCTTCAAACTAGCAAAGGAAAGAGACAATGGACTGTTTGTATCCTAACATGCAATACTAAACATGGTTAATAGATCAGTTTATAAATTTTAAAATACACATCACACATTCACAGACATATCAGTTATATGTAGGGCCTTCCGTTAAG